TCACGAACAAACTGCCTCCTGCTGCAGCCAAACATTTACAATTTTGACTCATCAGTTCAGAGCACCTGCCACCATTTTTCTGCACCCTTGGTTCCTATGTTACCTGTGTGCATAGGACATGGAAACAAGGCTAAGCGACTCAACTATGCATCAGAACATAGGAACCGGGAGTGCAGAAAAATGGTGGCAGGTGCTCTGGACTGATTTGAAATATTTGGCTGTTTGAGGAGGTCAGGTCCAGAATCCAAGGTTTCTTTATCAACGAAAAATTGAAGGCGATATTGGAGGATAAACATGATAAGTTTCTTTCTGTTTGGCAACCATGGGTGGATTATCAGCCAGTTTCTTGTTTTACTACGAAATGTACTAATCTATGATGTGTTGGGTTTAGCCTCTCCTCTCCTCTTATGTGTCTCCCGGCTCTCTTCCCTGGCGAACTCCTTCTCTTGCTGGACTGTTTCTCCCTTTCTCTCTGCTTTCCTTTGTTTCCTGTTTTCTTTTTTTTTTCTCTTTCTCTCTTTTTTTTTTCTCTTTCACTTTTTTTTGTGTTTTTTTTTTAAATTAGATCGATTTTCTGTCACTTATTTTTGTTGTCTTACAAGTCTATGTCTCAGGGACAATATTGTCTTATGAGAGCGCAGCTCTCTATGTGTTTTCTTTTTGTTGCTCTTTTTTTTATATGTAACTTTTACATTTTTGAAAGTGGATGCGGGCTTCGCGGCCCTTTACCTTTCATAGTGTTATCTGGACCCCCGTATGGGTCTTGTTTGTATATTTCTGTGCCTGCTGTGTGTTGTTTCCCTATTTTTTGTTGTTTGTTATCACTCTGTATCATACGATTTGTTATGGTTTGTTTGTTTCTTTTAACATGCCTAATAAAATGTTTGGTAAAAGAAATATTTGGCTGTAGCAGGAGGCAGTATGTTGGCAAAGGGCTGGAGAGCGGTACAATAATGAGTGTCTGCAGGCAACAGTGAAGCATGGTGGAGGTTCCTTGCAAGTTTGGGGTTGCATTTCTGCAAATGGAGTTGGAGATTTGGTTAGGGTCAGTGCTGTCCTCAATGCTGAGAGATACAGGCAGATAGTTATCCATCATGCCATACCATCATGGAGGTGTGTGATTGGCCCCAAATTTATTGTGCAGTAGAACAACGACCCCAAACATACAGCCAATGTCATAAAGAACTATCTTAATAGTACAGACGAACAAGGAGTTCTGGAAGTGATGGCTTGGCCCCCATGGAGCCCTGATCTCATCATCATGGAGTCTGTCAGGGATTACATGAAGAGACAGAAGAATTTCAGGCAGCCTACATCCATAGATCTGTGGTTAGTTCTCCAAGATGTTTCGAACAACCTACCTGCCGAGTTCCTTCAAAAACGTCTGCAAGAAGAATTGATGATGTTTTGAAGGCAAAGGGTGGACACACCAAATATTGATTTGATTTGAATTTCTCTTCTGTTCATCTACTTTCCATTTTGGTAATTGGTAAAAGTAAACTATTAACACTTCACTGCCTAAGACTTTTGCACACTATTGTATATATGTAGCCATGTAATGGACTACAGAAACATTGAGAAAGAAAACATTGTTCTCTTTACAGTCAGTTTTACTTTCATTTTCTACTGCTATGCTGGATGTTGTGTTGCACTAACCCCTCCAGTCAGCAGGAGGAAAGCTATAGCCAGGAAAACCTATGGACTTGACTTCTGGGACATCAACCATAGAATGGAACCCATGGACCCTTTACACGACAGTTCCCATAGAACGCCGAGGAGGAGAGGGTGTGGCGGAATAGCTTTTAACAGACTGCACTGGAATCTTCTTCCTCTTGGCAGCCTTGGAGTCCATGTGAACACATCAGCTGTGCATACACATCTCTGAGGAGACCAGACCAGTGGGGCCCAGAGCCAGAAGCCTGATAGCTTCAGGGGAGGCACTGCAACAATCCAATCGATCTCGCCTTTATTGCAGGGGACTAGAGAGTTTTCTCAGTCTCCTCTTTCTTTCATTTGTCATCAGCGGAGCCATCTGCACAGAAAAAAGGGGCCCCATTCCTACATCGGAAGTTTAAAGCCACACCATAGGAACTGGTGAGAAAGCTCATTTGCACACCAGTAACAGAGACTGGAAGCAGGATACTTAGTACTTAGCACCTACTCTGCATTCTGGATCACCAAGACTAATGTTAAGTTCGCCAACACTGCTTAAGGGCCCCAACTATAGTTGGCAGAAGAACACAGTAAAAGACAAGTCCCTCTGTACTAACCTATACATACACACAAACACAATAAAAGTGACATGTCTAGACTGGAAAAATTATGACATCTGGAAAAAGAAGATTTTACCATCACAATAGGGAGGAGTTCTTTACAGTAAAGCCATTGTAGGGAGGAATACCTTACTAGATGATTTGATTTAGTAATGGCAAAATCAATAAAAAAGTTTGGAAGAAGATATTACAATTACTGTTAGCTACAGTGGGGAATGTGGAAATATCCAAACCCAGAGAAATGATCCATCAAGCCTTTAGGGGACTGTAAGAAGTTTTTCACACAAATCATCTAAAGTTGTCCCAAAGAGCTATTTGGCCTTCCTCTGGGGTTTATTGTAAACGGTTGCACTTAAAGCTTACAATCTAAGGTAGTTATTCCATATACTAGAGCCAATTTAGACAGGAGAGCCAATTAACCTACAATCATGTCTTTGGAGTTGTCCAATGTCCAATTTTCAATGAAATCCTGTAAAAAAAACCCCAAAAAACCAATCATTCCATTTCAGTCAGAAACTCACCTGCAGTCCAATGATATTTCTTCCTTCCTTGAGTTTTTCAGGGTTGAATCTTCTCTCCTGTCGGTCGGCATACTTGACCCCAATGTCAACTTTGGCTCCTCTTGTCTTAGCCTGGAAAGACAGATATTACACAGCCATCAGGATCTTGGTTTGGCTAACAGGCACTTACTGCGGTCAAACTGTGTGCCTCTGACATCCATATACATGCCAAAATAGAAACAATCTCTCCTGCACTCTGAGACCCAAAAGAGGTGGATAGATGGAACCAGAACTTGAAAAAATCGACCACTTGTGCATATGGGGTTGTGCAGCTCCAAACAAGGCTGGGGAAGCCCGACCAACACTGCGAAGCAAAAACAAAAAAGAAGTGCACCAACCTTGTGCATTACCTCAGTAAACCAAATTTTTATTGAATATGGAATTATAAACTTACATGCCTGAAATACTTCATTAACTTAAAAATCATATCCCTCGGACGAAGCCACGTGACCCTGTGGCGCAACGCGTTGGGGAGGGGCACTGACGTCACCACGTACCCGACTCCTATGCACGGCAAGTACAGGAAGTGTGTGTCCACACGCCGCTCAGGCTGGACACAGTATACACTCAAAGCGATTTGATGTTTTTATATCCGTAAGTGCAAAATTGGCACTAATAAATTTATATTCTTACCAAGGATAAGGCACTATCCCTCTCTTTTTTTCCCCTTTGGCATCATGCTAAGTAATAGGGAGAAAGCAAATAACATCTGTTGGAGGGAGGACCTCATCCAGGATCCATTTACAGCAGAATAGTGGGAGCAAAGAGGAGAACCATTTTCTGCTACTCATAGAAGAATACACCAAGTAACTTATTTTATTTTGAGCATCTTTATTTGGAATCATGTGAACAGTAAGTTATGGTGAACAGTTCCACTCTGATGGGATCTCACTAATAATTGGACTCTCACCTACATTGGACAGTTATCAACTATTTATTGATTTTCCAGTATATATATATTTTTGATTCATTTATTTATTTATTTTAGCTGGGATTTATTTATTTTTTTGATATATATATATATATATATTTATAATTTTTTTTTTCCTTTCTCTATAATAATGAATCACATTTTTATAATGAATTGCACATTTTACCTTCTGATTAATTAAGGGTATTACTTTATTATTTAAACATTTAATTGTTATTTAAATATTGATTTTATTTATTTATTCATGGGCACAATATAAGGGCGCGGCACCATTTTTATTTTTAAATTGTCATTTTTAGTACATATAATGAGGATGTAGCTAGGAGCCTGCGAACTTATTCTATACTAAATATTTGTGGTGGCTCACAGGACATATTTATCCTACTTCATTAACTTACATGCTTGAAATACTTCATTGTTTGTGAGTATAATTCCATATTCAATAAAAATTTGGTTTACTGATGTAATGCGCAAGGTTGGTGCGTTCTTTTTTGTTTTTGCTTCGCAGTATCCATATACATGCCTCCATAAACTGCCAACCTGCAACAGTTGGAGGATGTACAGAATGGAATTTGTCAAATGATCTCTCAACAGCTGTTGAATGAGTGATGTGTCCTCTTGCCATTGTATGTAAACTCAGATTTAATTTGCATCATGCCTCATAGTATACAGTTTTTTGTGAATCTATTTTTTTTTCTCTATTGTGAATCTGTTGCAAAAGTTTCTTACCTGGAGATCCAGTAACAGCACTTCCTGCTGCAGGCTGACAATGCTAAGCTGCTGCTTTGCAATTACCAACAGTGTTGTCAGCCTGCCGGGCGTGCACCCATGCAGATCAGCAGCACCGACAATGGAAACCTGTATGAACTGTAGGCTGCCATTGCCTGTATCTGCTGAAGTTCTAAATGCTTGGCTTTCATGCCCCTCTAATGATTTTGGTACTTTCTGAGCAGCAAACTACATATCAGAACATCTGACTTCACTTGTTACATTCTTCTTCCATGTTAGTGACTCAATAAGAGCTGAAAGCGGAGCTAGTTTTTTTTTGTTTTAAGGAGATCAGCAATGGCAGCCCCCATGGTTCTCTCAACACAGGCTGACTTTAAAGTGTATCCAAATCCAAGAACAAATAAGTAATATACCAATAACAAACTTCCTGTCTTAGGATGACAACGCTCACTCACTGCACTTTATTGATGGAGAAATGTTGTCACCTAGGACACAAAATGCATTAGGACAACAGAATACACCCCCCCCCCATCTTCATAACATATTGCTGAGAAGTTCTGTAGTTCACAAAGAGAGAACTGGACAAGGATGATAATATTGCTGAACAGTGAGCACAGGAAGTTTCAGCTCATTGAATTTTTGGCTGGATCAACAGATATTTTTTGCACTTATCAAACAGAAATAATAAAATATGTTCAAGGAAGCAAATAAGAGAAATTCAGAGGTTGTTCATGTTTACATATACCTTAATTCACATGTTCCAAAATGAGGATTATCCTCCTGTTTCTGGGATATGTGATGGAATGAGACCCGGAAATACCTTCTGTTCTAAGAAGGCCTCACTGTGCTATGAATTCGGTTAGAGGGCCTTTTAATTCCTTTAGTCCATTCTCACCAATACCAGTATCATTATACTGACTTATTGGGTCCCAAGCCCCACTCCATGAAAGCCATGGTTTCTATACGCTGTACTGATGATGGCTAAAAAGTTGTATACGGTTTGAAATAATGGACTCTGATATTGTGCTATACGTTGCACTATACACCAGCAGTTCTGGATTTGTAATTAAAATTGTAATTGTAATTGGGGTGTAAAAGAACGATTTGTATGGCCCCACCCACTGACCTAAAAGAGGAAATAATCTTCTTATTTTTGGGATATGTGATGGAATGAGTCATGTGACTACTTACCCTTCTAAGAAAGCTTTACTGTAGTACTGAACTCTACTGTATGCTCCAACTAAAATAATCATTCTGAAAATTCACCACTAGATGGAGTGTGAAGTCAATTGATAGAATTTGTTGTCTACTAAACTACACTATATTGCCAAAAGTATTGGGCGGCCTGCCTTTACACGCACATGAACTTTAATGGCCCTCCAGTCTTAGCCCGTAGGATTAAATATTGAGTTGGCCCCGCCCTTTGCAGCTATAACAGCTTCAACTCTTCTGGGAAGGCCATCCACAAGGTTTAGGAGGGGGTCTATGGGAAGGTTTGACCATTCTTCCAGAAGCACATTTGTGAGGTCAGGCACTGATGTCGGGGGAGGAGGCCTGGCTCACAGTCTCCGCTCTAATTCATCCCAAAGGTGTTCTATGCGGTCAGGACTCTGTGCAGGCCAGTCAATTTCCTCCACCCCAAACTCAGTCATCTATGTCTTTATGGACCTTGCTTTGTGCACTGGTGTGCAGTCATGTTGGAACAGGAAGGGGCCATCCCCAAACTCTTCCCACAAAGTTGAGAGCATGAAATTGTCCAAAATGTCTTGGTATGCTGACGCCTTAAGAGTTCCCTTCACTGGAATTAGGGGGCCAAGCCCAACCCCAACCCCTGAAAAACAACCCCACACCATAATCCCCCCTCCACCAAACTTTACCCTTGGCACAATGCAGTCAGACAAGTTCCGTTCTTATGGCAACCACCAAACCCAGACACGTCCATCGGATTGCCAGACAGAGAAGCGTGATTGGTCACTCCAGAGAACACGTCTCCACTGCTCTAGAGTCCAGTGGTGGCGTGCTTTACACCACTGCATTCGACGCTTTGCATGGCACTTGGTGATGTAAGGCTTGGATGCAGCTGCTCGGCCATGGGAACCCATTCCATGAAGCTCTCTACACACTGTTGTTGTGCTAATCTGAAGGCTACATGAAGTTTGGAGGTCTTTAGCTATTGACTCCGCAGACAGTTGGTGACTTCTGCGCACTGTGCGCTTCATTATGCGCTGACCCCGCTCTGTCATGTGACGTGGTCTACCACTTCATGGCTGAGTTGCTGTTGTTTCCAGTTGCTTCCACTTTGTTATAGTCCCACTAACAGTTGACTGTGGAATATTTAGTAGCCAGGAAATGTCACGGATGGACTTATTGCACAGGTGACAACCTATCACGGGACCACGCTTGGAGTCACTGAGCTCCTGAGAGCGACCCATTCTTTCACAAATGTTTGTAGAAGCAGTCTGCATGCCTAGGTGATGATTTTATACACCTGTGGCCATGGAGGTGATTGGAACACCTGAATCCAATGATTTGGAGGGCTGGCCCAATACTTTTGGCAATATAGTGTATACCAAGCTATTGGGGACAATGTCTGTCTTTATCTTTACCTACACTGAAAGGAGAGTTCTGTACCATTTTTTTTTCAAAGCAAAGTTCCTTGCCAATGTCTTTCACACGATGTGTTTAAAAAATAGCTGCCACATATAATGCTACAATTTATCTCAGGTTTGCTCTAAGTATATTTTACCTGGGGAACTCAATACAAACACTCACCCTCCACAAGTTGAAACGTGTGGTGAACACAGGAAACACTGCGCATGGATATTACATGCATAGGAGTATAAGATGAAGAGCCGGCAACTCGTTCTCCTGATAAAAGCACTCTATTCATAACGAGCGCAGTGTGCAAGCCACAGCAGCCCACGCATTTCGGCAAAAAACTCCATTCATAGCCATGGATATTGTATGCCTCTTAAAGCTCAACTCCGGACAAAATGATTTTTTTTTATATATATTGGAGTGAAGAAAGATCAGAGAGTCACCAGAATTGTTATGATGCCTGTATTTTAACCACTTGACCTCCGGAAGATTTACCCTCTTTATGACCACACCCTACATAAGGGAGATATGATCTCCATGTATAATACATAAGGGGGGATATGATCACCATGTATAATACATAAGGGGGGATATGATCTCCATGTATAATACATAAGGGGGATATGATCACCATGTATAATACATAAGGGGGGATATGATCTCCATGTATAATACATAATGGGGATATGATCTCCATGTATAATACATAAGGGGGGATATGATCACCATGTATAATACATAAGGGGGGATATGATCTCCATGTATAATACATAAGGGGGGGTATGATCACCATGTATAATACATAAGGGGGGATATGATCTCCATGTATAATACATAAGGGGGGGGATATGATCTCCATGTATAATACATAAGGGGGGATATGATCTCCATGTATAATACATAAGGGGGGATATGATCTCCATGTATAATACATAAGGGGGGATATGATCTCCATGTATAATACATAAGGGGGGATATGATCTCCATGTATAATACATAAGGGGGGATATGATCTCCATGTATAATACATAAGGGGGGATATGATCACCATGTATAATACATAAGGGGGGGATATGATCTCCATGTATAATACATAAGGGGGGATATGATCACCATGTATAATACATAAGGGGGGATATGATCACCATGTATAATACATAAGGGGGGATATGATCTCAATGTATAATACATAAGGGGGGATATGATCTCCATGTATAATACATAAGGGGGGATATGATCTCCATGTATAATACATAAGGGGGATATGATCTCCATGTATAATACATAAGGGGGGATATGATCTCCATGTATAATACATAAGGGGGATATGATCTCCATGTATAATACATAAGGGGGGATATGATCTCCATGTATAATACATAAGGGGGGATATGATCTCCATGTATAATACATAAGGGGGGATATGATCACCATGTATAATACATAAGGGGGGTATGATCTCCATGTATAATACATAAGGGGGGGGGATATGATCTCCATGTATAATACATAAGGGGGATATGATCACCATGTATAATACATAAGGGGGGATATGATCTCCATGTATAATACATAAGGGGGATATGATCTCCATGTATAATACATAAGGGGGGATATGATCTCCATGTATAATACATAAGGGGGGGGGATATGATCTCCATGTATAATACATAAGGGGGATATGATCACCATGTATAATACATAAGGGGGGATATGATCTCCATGTATAATACATAAGGGGGATATGATCTCCATGTATAATACATAAGGGGGGATATGATCTCCATGTATAATACATAAGGGGGGATATGATCTCCATGTATAATACATAAGGGGGGTATGATCTCCATGTATAATACATAAGGGGGGGGATATGATCTCCATGTATAATACATAAGGGGGGATATGATCACCATGTATAATACATAAGGGGGGATATGATATCCATGTATAATACATAAGGGGGGATATGATCACCATATATAATACATAAGGGGGGATATGATCTCCACGTATAATACATAAGGGGGGATATGATCTCCATGTATAATACATAAGGGGGGATATGATCTCCATGTATAATACATAAGGGGGGATATGATCTCTCCGTGTAGAATACATAAGGGGGGATATGATCTCCGTGTAGAATACATAAGGGGGGATATGATCTCCATGTATAATACATAAGGGGGGATATGATCTCCATGTATAATACATAAGGGGGGGATATGATCTCCATGTATAATACATAAGGGGGGGATATGATCTCCATGTATAATACATAAGGGGGGATATGATCTCCATGTATAATACATAAGGGGGATATGATCTCCATGTATAATACATAAGGGGGGTATGATCTCCATGTATAATACATAAGGGGGGATATGATCTCCATGTATAATACATAAGAGGGGATATGATCACCATGTATAATACATAAGGGGGGATATGATCACCATGTATAATACATAAGGGGGGGGGATATGATCTCCATGTATAATACATAAGGGGAGGATATGATCTCCATGTATAATACATAAGGGGGATATGATCTCCATGTATAATACATAAGGGGGGGATATGATCTCCATGTATAATACATAAGGGGGGATATGATCTCCATGTATAATACATAAGGGGGGGATATGATCTCCATGTATAATACATAAGGGGGATATGATCTCCATGTATAATACATAAGGGGGGATATGATCTCCATGTATAATACATAAGGGGAGTTTTTATAAGTTGGCGTCCCTTTCTGCAGCATAGACTTCAGACAGAAATCTTAATGTTTTTTTCAGACTTGCATTTGCAGACTTGTGAATTTTGGAGAAGTTTGGAGGACATTAGACCTCATTGCCATCATAAATGGCATATTTATCACCTTATTTGACCGCATTACAGTAATACACACAAGAGGTTGACTGTGTTTTAAAACCTGACAGAGGTTCTATCCCTTTCCTGCTGTATCCAAATTTAATAATAAATGTTCTGGATACAGAGCAGAAGTGTAAATGAGCCCTAAGGATGAATCCCACTGTAGTGTATGGTGCTCAGTGTTATAACTTTCCTATTCCAAGGTATCCATTCATAGGAAGCGGTGAGGCAGAATCAAAGCCCATCAGACACTGCTGCTGAGCACACAGGCCAGAATACTCTTCTGGGTAAAGGTAAGGTTTTCTACCCCCTAAGACAGCCTTTTTCATCTGTTGAACATGAATAATTTTGAGGTCTTAGGGAACCGCTACTAAAAACCCCTACTTACAGACGGCTAAAATGATCATTGGTTAGCTGCCCTTGGCTCTGCAGTGTGGCACTGGACCCAGAACTATGCAGGCACCATTGATGGGAGGTCAAATAGCCACAGTTCAAGGAATCGCTAGCAATCTCTGGAGGAACCCTTGTTGAAAATGACCTCCCTAAGGGCTTGGTACTCAAAAGTACCGAACAGAAGTTAGGAACTTGTGCTCCTCTTCTCTGCAGATTATGCTTTTGCCATGTTTTTTCTTTTTAAGGAAACCTGTACTTAGAGAGAGAAGCTTCACCTTTGTTCTGACTTCACTTGCTTGTTTTGGGTTGATAGCCAGGCAACTAGCATTTTCAAAGGGAGAAGTCAGCAATGGCAGCTTACACATCACCCCATTACTGTTTTCCTTTAATAGGTGTAGGCATTATGTCATGCAGCACCCTCCCAATGAATCAAGTGGTAAAAAGTGGGTGAAGCTTGGCTGATTCTAGATGTCCCAAGGCCATTATTTTCATCCTAAAAAGAAGACGTTTCTGAATGTCGGGCTCTTGTCTCAGCCTGTTCATCTAGCCTGTGTCAAATAATGAGCTATTTAGGTATTGTACATAATTAATACTCAAATGTGATCTCACCGCTTTCCTGGAGGTCTGGAAATGACTAGTTAGGAGCAAGTGAAAAATGCTTGATGGCCCAAAGTATCATGGTTCCTCCACGTGAACAATGGCAGAGAATTATGGGTAGGGGACCATTGTGGTTTAACAGCTCTATCCTCTTACAGCATGGACATTTTTGAGGCATTTTTTCTCCCCACAGAAGCTGCGGTGGCATTTATTATATTGAAGCACTTACAAGGACTTACCACGCTAGCTAAGGCCAATAGTGTGGATTGGACTTGAGTGAGGTTCGTATTCTCAAACAGATCATTTGCTTCAAATATATCGTGTTGTTTCACTCCATAATCTGTGATTGCCTTAATAAAGTTTCCAATGTTTTCCAGCTGCAAATAAAGCACAGTTAGAGAGATAGCAATATGTGTCCCATAAGTATAGTTCATATAGCTGAAGAAACACATTACCAGTGGCTTTTCATATATGGTCAATGGACGTAATGACTGTAAGCCAATGCCCTTCCACTGTAATGTATCTGAAAGATAAATTCCAGTGTAGGGCTACCCTCATAGGGGCTGCTGGCAATAGCTGGTTCTTCCCTAACAGCACAGAGGCAGCTCACCACCACAAGCACCCATCTGTGCACACCAGCTGCAATAACAGTCTAGGTGATGTATTTTTTTAATTTTTTGCTTGAAGAACTTTAAACAGGAGAGGGGTCCTGGCATGGGATACTCCAAACAATCAGCAATAGCAATGTGGGGACAATCTTCTCCCTAGTCTCTCTCTCTGGAGGGTAACTATGGACATAGAACTGTCTAAGGCCCCACAGCTGTAGAACATAAGGCAATTGTCTTTGGCATCTGGTCACCTTGCGCTACTGCTCAACTATTGGTACCTAATACAATTTCCAAAATGCTGCACAGAGGGACACCTTTCTCTAGGCTCACACTCCATGGTTCGGCTGAGGACAGGGGAATGGCCAATATTCTGAGACCATATGAGAGCTGTCTCAGCCCAAGCCCTTATATCCCAAAAGCACACACAGTCACCGGGAATCAATTTAGGGTATTTAATCACAAGTCCACAGGACAGCTGCACACCTTCCAGCTTCCTCTGGACACGGTCCAGTGAGGGAAACAACCCTTCTCCAAACATGATCCCTTCTGGTGAATTCCCACAGCCAGCTTCTCAGGAGATCCATCCAGGCCCTCAGGCCTCAAGAACAGCTACGCAGTCCATGGGCTACCTCAGGGCAGCAGCCCCTAAGGCTTTGGAACCCTGCTGGGAAGATGGAACTATTTCTCCAAGGCTTCAGACTATTTGTCAGGTGCTGTACCTGTGGGATCCCTGTGGATGCTGGAAATCATTGTAGTAGGCATCTCCACTAGCTTCCAGGTCGAGTGGCTCCTGCTACACCATGAAAACAGGAGGTCAGCGACTCGGCACAGGTGCCATTTAGAGAACACTTTGCATTTCCTCAATGAATGCAAAGCATTCTTTGATTGGACCAGGTGAAAGGCAGAGTGGTGATGTTTCCATTTCATGTCTTCAACAGAGCATCCCACATATTCAACAATGGAACCTTGTCTTGACAAACCGGCTCTCCAAGTGCCTCTTGGTTAAAATACAGACAGTACATGCCCACAGACAGACGATGGGGGCAAATCATGTTTTGTTTATGTGTGTGTGTGTTGAGACATGTTGATGGAGGAGACAACCATAGTGGAGAACAAGTTAGGGTGCACCAGTGTTTGTATTGTGTCAAATGGGGGGTCTTTCCATACAGAATATTAGAAACAAAGTGATGTCAATAAAAGACCCATTGATCCATTTTTTTTTTACCAAGCTTTCCTAACCTCTTCCTGTCAGCCGTACACATATACGTGGCAGCACAGTGGGGGGTTTTAACACCCTACTACCACATATATGTATACAGCATAGTGATCACATGATCAGGATGCTAAGGAGACTCCTCCAGCATTAAGATCCCCTTAAATTGCCTTACTGACTCACTACCTTTGAGGTCATGCCTCTGTCTTCTTGATCCCAGCTTCATATTGAAAATGCTGCCCTCCTGAACCTTATTCACACCCTCATTTCAAGGTTCCAGTCCTGTACTCCCTGGTCTTATTACCTGATGCCAGTTCTGTGTAGACTCGTTGATCTTCCTGACGGAGCCGGGCTGCAGCTTGTTAATTAACCTGCGGAGAGAAGATGGCTATCCTGGTTATAGTGAACAAGCAGTGTCAGTCATCTACTCCCACCCCACCACTACCACCAAAGGCCAAGGAGGACTGCCCCCATCTGCAGGCACCACAGACTGATCCCAAAGCAAGACAAGAGGAGGAGTGGGGACACCCATCAGTAGGGCTACTGCCTGTACGCAGGTGCAGCTAGCTAGTCTGCCACTAGGTGGCTCTGTTTCAGAATAGTGTCTAGTTACAGAAAGCAGTGTCATCAGGTGTTAGGCCCCTTTTATGCCCCTTTTAGGTAGAGCACTCCTGTAGTGATGGATGAGTTAGCACCCAATTATAAGCCTGGCTGAGAGGAGCTCTAGTGCAGTTGGGGCATGGGAGCCAAACACCCCACACCAGTACAAATGTAGCCAGCACATGGAGGCCCTGGACAGGGCTGCAGGCCAGATAGAGGTAGACTTGCACCCAGGAGAGCCGGCTATGGACGTTTTGACTCTTATAGAGGCGAGGGCTAGGGCAGGTTGTGAAAGGTCTTCCAGTCCTGGCCAAGAGTTCCCTGAGTGAGGCTATTCCCCGGGAAGATGTGTACCCAAGGAGGAGGTGACCACAGAGATCCCATTCCTGTGATCCCTGTTTGGAGGGAGAGGCTGTTAGAGGGAAGATGGCTGTTTAAAGTGCTGCATGATGCTTTCACATGTGACTTCTGTGGAACACCCAGTGAATGTGATTGACTATGTATTGTCAAGCGATAGTATGTCAGTGTGATGTGACTGTTTTATGCCATTTTCCAAGTACCAACATGAAAGTGCAGCAACCATATTTATGTGTGTGGACATTCCTTCCTTGGGGACATAAAGGTCAATGGCCTAGGAATGTCCTGTGGAGGCCTGTGGCACAGAGTGAGCACAATATGGCAGAGGGTATAATCTCAGCAGGAGGGTCAGTGCTCTAGCAAGGAAAGGAATGGAGCAGGGACTTGTGCTTTTGGCACCAACACCTAGTTAATTACAGAGCCCATCTTACATTGTTAGGACAGCAACGTTTCAAAGGCAGCTGCTCTTGTATTGGTACATTAGATCAGATCTAAAATTAAAATATATATGGCACATTAATGTAAAAGTTCAGCCCCTTTTTCTAGTTACATACAAAGAATCGTACTATAGAGCATACTGTATCTAATTGCATGACAACGGATGTAGCAATGCCCAATTGACTTAATACCACCTTCTTCCTTAGCTCTGCCCACTATGAAAATGGGTGATGCACATGATGTCAAGTGTTGGAGGTGACCTGTCCAAAGATTGATTTTGTTTTTTATCAGGACTTGGCCAAACTGATTCTGATCCATTCAGTTGAAATCAAAAGCAGTCATCCCCTGTCATAGTGGACAAAGTACTGGAAGGAAACAGCATTATGCCAGCTGGGCAATGCCAAAATGGTTGCCTTAGAATTAGGTAAGCCCTACAGTAGGCCTCCTTTTTGTGTCAACATCCAATCCTGTTAAACTAGATAAAGTCCACAAAAGATGGACTTTGGCACCAGTCTACATTGGGCCTCTTTTGTGTCACCATCCAACCCTGTTAATCTAAATAAAGACCACAGAAGACGGACTTAGACATCAGCCTACAGGTGGCACAATAATACCTATGACCACTAGAATTTATTGTTCTTCTCTCAGGTCTTGATAAATAGGTTTGCTCTTTTATAGTCACTCACTCGCACAGTATGACTCCATCTTTCAGGGACTCCATGAATTTATTCCCAATATTCCTGCCGGTGGTCCTCTCTATCCATTCCCTCAGCTCGGCCTCCTTCTGTGGGTCATATTTTGATGCCAACTGAAAGAAGACAAGGGAGCATGTCAGTGTGGTTCAGAAGAGTTGTCATGGAAAGAACATAGCGCTTCCATTGCTGGTCTCATTCCTAAAATGCCAGTTGGCCGGATATTATTTGGATCTTCACAGATTTGGATCACACAAATCTATCTCTCAACCCCCCACCTCACCCCCTCGGTCTCCGCCCGAATCACACACCTACTGAGTGACATATCAGACTGGATGTCTCTCCACTTCCTTAAACTGAACCTCTCCAAAACCGAGTTTCTTGTCTTCCCCCCAGCCTGGACACCCCCCCCCCCATTGACTTCTCCGTCAAATCCAACAACGCCACCATCAAACCCGCCCCGCAGGCCAGAGTACTTGGTGTCATTCTGGACTTCAACCTATCCTTCCAGCCCCAAGTCCAATCTTTAACAAACTCGTGCAGACTCCACCTCCGCAACATCGCCAAAATACGCACGTTCCTAACCCCAGAAACCACTAAACAGCTCATCCACTCCCTCATCATCATATCACGACTCGACTAGTGCAACTCCCTCCTCACTGGCCTGCCTCGCCACAGGCTATCCCCGCTTCAGTCGATCCTGAATACGGCAGCCAGACTCATTCACCTTACCAACCGCTCCATCTCCGCCAGCCCCCTCTGCCAATCCCTACACTGGCTTCCGATTGCGCAACGGATCAAATTCAAAATCCTAACACTGACGTACAAAGCCGTCCACCATACTGCCCCGAACTACATCACTGACCTAATATACAAGTACCACCCAACACACACACTCACGCTCCTCACAAGACCTCCTTCTCTCTAGTTCCCTGGTCTCCTCCTCCCATGCCCGCCTCCAGGACTTCTCCAGGGTGTCACCCATCCTCTGGAACTCCCTGCCCCAACCCATCAGATTATCACCTACTCTCCTCTCCTTTAGGCGCACCCTGAAAACCCATCTCTTCAGGGAAGCCTACCCCACCCCCTGCTAACCTGCCGACCTCCTCCACTCTTCCTACCACTCCATCCCCCACAGCTATCTCCTCCTGTGCCACCATCCCCTCCCTCCTAGATTGTAAGCTCGAAAGAGCAGGGCCCTCGAACCCCTCCTATATTGTATTGTATTGGTATTGTTCTGTCACATGTTCTGTCCCCCTTTGTAATGTACAGCGCTGAGTGAACTATTGGCGCTTTGTAAATACTGTATAATAATAATAATCTTCTGGCATGCATGCAGATCAGGAAAGTCAGAAATCTACAGTAGGCCAGTGACTCAAAGTAGAAGGTCAGCATTACTGACAGGCATCTGGCATTTTTAGAACGAGGTTCAGCGATGGCAAGCCTGCATATTTTTCTGACAGTTTTCCTTTAATCCTAGGCCTTGTTTGGTCACACTGAAGCCCGGCCTACAATACAAATCAAACTGTGCAAGCTCATATCTTCCTACTAGGTTCTACTGATCTGCTCTAATCATGCAATTTAGTGTAACAAATGATGGGGTTCTCTATAAAATTCAGAGGAGGTAGAAAAATGATGTCTGCTGTATAGGTTATATTAGTCCTAAAAATATAAATATTTAAATAAAAAGAGATTAATAATAGCTGTGGATTCTCCTAGGGTGATGTCCTCTGCAGTTGTCTTACCAGTCTTTATTTAGGGGCATTATAGGGGCAAATTGACCCCATGTCCCTTATAGGTGTTAGAACAGTGGTGGTCAAATTATTAAATATACAGGGCAAATGTGATGCTTGATTTCATGAAAGGGCTGCACTTTAACTGATCCAGGGGTATCAGTCACTACATATCCATTTTTAATGGTTTACATAACTGGGGTATGACAGAGCCAGGGGCAGACTAACAACTCATGGGGCCCCCGGGCAATAGGGGATCATGGGGTCCCTGTGTCCTTGCCCACACTCACAGCACACCCAAAAAAGCCTATAAAAGGTACCAGGGGCATTTCATGGGGCCCCTTACTGAACCCCAGCCCTCGGGCAGTGCTCGAGTGCTCGAATGGTCAGTCCGCCCCTGGACAGAGCTGTGTCCTTTGCTTACCTACTCAGTGCTAAAAGGTGACTTTTTTCCCCTATATCAGACAGGGCCTGGATTTAGACCTTGGGGGCCTGGGGTAATTCAGATTTGGTGGACCCCTTATAAACAGGAATCAAAACACATGACAAATCATCAAATTTATACATTCTTTCGCTGCCAGGACCATTTTTGCATATTTTATACACATGTATATAAAAATTATTTTAGGCCTGAAGATTACATGAACCCCCAAACATTAGATATTTTCTGAAAGCACACACCCTAGTGAATAAAGTAGTGGTAGTTCCAAATTTTGTATGTCACACAATGGTTTACAAAACAGAATATTTCAGTAAAAAATGTACTAAAGATCATTTTAAGGCACATAAGAGCAATATATTATCTGATATTTTTTTTTTGCAAAATATAAGATGAGGCTGCACAGAGTAAATAGATGCATGTCAATCCTTAAAACTGTGCCCCTAAAATGACGACAAACGTCAGTACACTATATTTTCATTAGACAATGTTTTAAACAGTCCCCACGGTTCATCAGTTTAGAGTGAACTGTGAAAATTGGGCATAGTATTTTTTATCTCAGTCCAGCGTGCACAGAAATATGTAACGTGTATCAATGTTTTAACGTGCAGGCACCACTGATGCATGCATGCGTGCTTGTATGAGGGGATGGGAGGGGGACAAAAACATTTTTTTTTTGGGGGGGGGGGGGTTAAAGTGCTTGGGTGTAGATTTAATGTTGTACACTTTTTTACGTTTTTGTTTTTTTTTAAACTAAACTTTTTTTTATCACATAGGGGACAAAAAGTCTTGAAGTAAAGGTTTGAAAAAATGTGTGACACAATGTCATGGTGAGGTCAGGTGCACACACACACGCACAATGATGGGCTGCCTTCCTTCAGGCTAGGCTCACATATGTGTGGGTGGTGCCGCTGTGAATCTGCACAGAAATCCGTGCAGAGGCACCACCCACACAGAAGAATGTGGACCCGCGGGCAGGTGCCTTTAATTCTAATGGCACGCTACCCGCACTGGAAAAAACGCAACCATACTGGGAACCGAGGTTCCCGTGCGAGCTGTGTTTTCAGAAGAAGTGCAGGGACTTCTTTCCCTGCGTGTCCCGGGGCACGGGAGTCCATTCAAATGAATGGGCTCTTGTACCCACACAAAACGCGGCCCGCAGGAACGCAGATATGTGAACCAGGGGTAAGGGCTTAGGTGCTCAGTGTGTGATTTGCTTCAGCTGCCACAATAAATTTAAAACTGATACAATATAGCAAAGTAAAAACTTTTACAGATGATTGGAGGCAAATTATTACTTCCTAAAAAAATTAATGAAATCATTTTTTTTTTATTATGATAATTTTGTATAGAGGGGACCCTTTCTGGGAGAGCAGCGGCCCCTTTTGCTCCTTATAAACCTCATAGGTAACAGCGCCTCCACTTTGTTTCCAGGATAGGATTTTTCATATTTTAGTCCCAGGCTCTATGCTGCCACACAGTGGTCATTTAGCTAACTGCAGACACATCGTTTTCTCCCAGGCAGCCCAGAAACCTGTAAACTAACACTCATGTCAAGTTCTCTGGGAAAAAAACATAAAATCTGCTTTTTAATTGCATGTACATGAGGTTTACAGTATTTCAAAAAAACACATTAAAAGAGTGACCAGCATCTCATTGGAAGGACCACAGAGGGCTCAGGAAGTGTGTTTGAGCCCCTGTAATAGCCACGGTTTGAAAGTAAGCAATCAGTGTTTGGCTCTATCAGTTTTTTCCTACAATTATTTTTCAATGGAGTCCTAAATAGAGAGTATAGTCTGTCTATAGTAAGAACTATAAGAGAAGTAAGAGTTTGAGTTATTCTTGATGTGTATTGGAATCACATTATGGTTGTAACCAGGACCAGATCTAGTCTGTCTGATCTGGGGGTGCAGTAAAAAAAAAGTCAGGGGGCACAATATCAGTAGTGTGACAGGGTTGCATGCAACCAGTATTCCCTCTTCACTCGGCACACTTTTGTACCATGGAGTCATAATTGCCTAATCAGAGTGCCCCTCTACATCAAATGCCTAATCAGAGTGCCCCCTACATCAAATGCCTAATCAGAGTGCCCCCCCTTAATCAAATGCCTAATCAGAGTAACCCCTACATCAATTGCCTAATCAGAGTGCCCCCTACATCAATTGCCTAATCAGAGTGCCCCCTACATCAATTGCCTAATCAGAGTGCCCCCCTTAATCAAATGCCTAATCAGAGTAACCCCCTACATCAATTGCCTAATCAGAGTGCCCCCCTACATCAATTGCCTAATCAGAGTGCCCCCTACATCAATTGCCTAATCAGAGTGCCCCCTACATCAATTGCCTAACCAGAGTGCCCCCTACATCAATTGCCTAATCAGAGTACCCCCCTACATCAATTGCCTAATCAGAGTGCCACCTACATCAATTGCCTAATCAGAGTGCCCCCTACATCAACTGCCTAATCAGAGTACCCCCCCCCCACATCAACTGCCTAATCAGAGTGCCCCCTACATCAACTGCCTAATCAGAGTACCCCCCTACATCAATTGCCTAATCAGAGTGCCCCTACATCCACTGCCTAATCAGAGTACCCCCTACATCAATTGCCTAATCAGAGTGCCCCCCCTACATCAATTGCCTAATCAGAGTGCCCCCTACATCATTTGCCTAATCAGAGTACCCCCCTACATCAATTGCCTAATCAGAGTGCCCCCTACATCATTTGCCTAATCAGAGTACCCCCCTACATCAATTGCCTAATCAGAGTGCCCCCTACATCAATTGCCTAATCAGAGTACCCCCCTACATCAATTGCCTAATCAGAGTACCCCCCCCCCTACATCAATTGCCTAATCAGAGTGCCCCCTACATCATTTGCCTAATCAGAGTGCCCCCTACATCATTTGCCTAATCAGAGTACCCCCTACATCAATTGCTTAATCAGAGTGCCCCCCCCTACATCAATTGCCTAATCAGAGTGCCCCCCTACATCAACTGCCTAATCAGAGTACCCCCTACATCACTTGCTTAATCAGAGTGCCCCCCCCCCTACATCAATTGCCTAATCAGAGTGCCCCCTACATCATTTGCCTAATCAGAGTACTCCCCCTACATCAATTGCCTAATCAGAGTACTCCCCCCTACATCAATTGATAATCAGAGTGCCCCCTACATCAATTCTCTAATCAGAGTGCCCCCTACATTAATTGCCTAATCAGAGTGCCCCCTACATTAATTGCCTAATCAGAGTGCCCCCCCACATCAATTGCCTAATCAGAGTGCCCTCCTATATCAATTGCCTAATCAGAGTGCCCCCTACATCAATTGCCTAATCAGAGTGCCCCCTACATCAATTGCCTAATCAGAGTGCCCCCCTACATCAACTGCCTAATCAGAGTGCCCCCCTACATCAACTGCCTAATCAGAGTGCCCCCTACATCAACTGCCTAATCAGAGTACCCCCCTACATCATTTGCCTAATCAGAGTGCCCCCCTACATCAATTGCCTAATTAGAGTGCCCCCCTACATCAATTGCCTAATCAGAGTACCCCCCTACATCAATTGCCTAATCAGAGTGCCCCCCCCCTACATAAGTTGCCAAATCAGAGTATCCCCCCCCCCCCCACATCAATTGCCTAATCATAGTGCCCCCCTACATCAATTGCCTAACCAGAGTACCCCCCCCACACATCAATTGCCTAATCACAGTGCCCCCCCCACATCAATTGCCTAACCAGAGTGCCCCCCACATCAGTTGCCTAACCAGAGCGCCCCCCCTACATCAATTGCCAAATCAGAGTGCCCCCTTAAATAAATTGCCCTCCTCGGAGTGCCCTCTTACATCAATTGTCCCCATCAGGTCTCAACTCAAAAATGGGGGGGCATAGCCCACCCCAGCACCCCCTAGATCCGGGCCTGGTTATAACATTTCCATTCTTATACCGTATTTCCTTACACATACAGAGGTGTAGATTCTGCTGCTGGTTTCTGTGTATTTACATATATGCTCATCCTGCCTACATAACTTCTGACCAGGGGCGGACTGACCATTTGGAAACTCGGGCACTGCCCGAGGGCCCAGGGTCAGTAGGGGGCCCCATGAGATGCCCCTGGTACCTTTTTTATAGGCTTTTTTGAGTTTGGGCAAGGACACAGGGCCCCATGATCCCCTATTGCCCGGGGGCCCCATGAGTTGTCAGTCTGCCCCTGCTTCTGAGATCAAATTCCACCAATTGCATTGTTTTTGGTAAGTCACACTAGACTGGTTGACTTGCAATGAGATAGACAAATTCCAGGGCTAGGTGCAGCTAAATTGCAGTTCCTCCGAAAAGCGATCTGCATTCACATCGCTTTTCAGAGGTGTTTAGCAGGCAGTGAAGGGGCAATATGACACCTTGCTGCCTGCTTTAACACTATAGCTGCTTGTTTAGACTTGTGGTTGAGGGGGGAGGTGTTAAAAACATGTGGTTGAGCCACATTTTTAGCACACTCCTTAAGGCAGCAGATGCATTTGCGAAGCTTTGTGCCCGCAACAAAAAACTTTTTCCTGGTGCCATTGGTGGGCAGAACCACTGGTGAGCATGAATGGGGACGCGCCACAAACACTAAAGGGCTGTTTACAAGTATTTAGAGCCTGTTCACACCATGACATTGTGGTAACATGAGCCTCAGGCCTCTTCCACACGTATGTTCACATATGTCCGTTCTTCATCTGTCCGTTTACAGATGAAAAATGGACACCAATGTATTTCTATGATCATCCGTTTGTATCCGTTAATGTCCGTATCCGTTAACATCCATTTTTTTAACAGAAGAAAACCCTATTTTTTTTTAAAAATGGAATGGACAAAAACAGATGTATACGGATGTAAACTTATGAAAATGGACGAAAACAGATGTAAACGGATGTCAACTGATGAAAACAGATGAAAACAGATGTAAACAGATGTCATCTGATAAAAACAGCCAAAAACAGATGTAAACGAATGAAAAACAGATGTAAACTGATGAAAATGAAGGAAAACAGATGTAAACAGATGAAAAACAGGTGTAAACAGATGAAAAACAAATGTAAACCGATGAAAATGAAGGAAAACAGATGTAAACAGATGAAAAAGAGATGTAAATGGATGTAAAACGGATGTAAAATGGATGCAAGTGGATGAAAAATACTGATGAAAAAACCGCATGTAAACTGATGAAAAACGGATGGAAATGGATGAAAAATTTAAAAAAAAAAACGGATGAAAACCGGATGTAAACAGACGAACATGGATGTAAATGGATGAAAAACAGATGTAAGAAGATGTAAACTGATATAAAACGGATGTAAGCAGATGTAAATGGATGTAAAACAGCTGAAAAATTGATGTAAACAGATATAAACAGGAAAAAAAACAAATGTAAATGGATTTAAAATGGATGAAAAAACTGATGTAAACTTATGAAAACGGACGAAAATAGATGTACATGGATGTCAACTGATGAAAACAGACAAAAAACAGATGTAAACGGACGAAAACGGATGTAAACTGATGAAAATGGATGAAAACAGATGTAAACTGATGAAAAACTGATGTAAATGGATGAAAACAGACGGAAAATGCATGTAAACGTATGAAAAACGTATATAAGCGTATGAAAAAAACTGATGTAAACTGATGGAAAATGGATGAAAAATGTATGTAAACTGATGAAAAACGGATGTAAACAGATGTAAATGGATGAAAAACGGATGTAAACAGATGAAAATGGATGAAAAATTGATGTAAATGGATTAAAAACGGATGTAAACAGACAGAAACGGATGTAAACGGATGTAAACAGATGAAAACGGATGTAAAACAGGTGAAAAATGGATGTAACTGGCCGAAAAAAAAAACAGATGTAAATGGATGTAAATTGGATGCAAACGGATGTAAAATGGATGAAAAAAACTGATGTAAACTGATGAGAAAACGGATGTAAACGGATGAAAATGGATGAAAAATTTACGTAAACAAATTAAAAAACGGATGTAAACAGATGAAAACGGATGTAAACGCATGTAAACAGATAAATACGTATGTAAAACAGGTGAAAAATGGATGTAACTGGCCGAAAAAAAACAGATGTAAATGGATGTAAATTGGATGCAAACGGATGTAAAATGGATGAAAAAACTGATGTAAACTGATGAGAAAACGGATGTAAACGGATGAAAATGGATGAAAAATTGACGTAAACGAATTAAAAACGGATGTAAACAGATGAAAACGGATGTAAACGGATGTAAACAGATAAATACGTATGTAAAACAGGTGAAAAATGGATGTAACTGGCCGAAAAAAACAGATTTAAATGGATTAAAATGGATGCAAAAACTGATGTAAACTGAAACGTTTTTTCTTTGAAAAAAAGTGACTGAACTGATGAAAAAAAACGGAACGCCCGTGTGAAAGGATCCGTACTACAAGTTTTACCGCAACCCTTGGCAATACACCTGCTATGTGCATTCTGAATGGCACTCCAATGCACCTTCTATTGGACACTACGGTGCCTGTTGGAAGATGTGTAGGGTGCCATTTAGAATGAATTGCACCACAGTGCCCCCTAGGCATTTAACGTGCATTGCAGCATCCTTAGTGAGGGGCCCTGGCATGCATTGATAATAACTGGCATTTTACAACACAAATACATTCCAGAGCTGCCAGAGAAAGGTCCCGCCTTCAATCATCATAAAGGAGTCCCTGAACTCTGAGCAAGAGACTTCCCATAGGCTTAGCTGATGTCATTAGTTGGCTGCAGACAGGAGAAAGTATTTCTACTGTCACCTCTCCCCCAGAGATCACTCAGACTATACAATGTAACTTTGGAGTAAGTCATACAATGAAAGGGGGCTGATCTGTGTAAAACAATATGTAAGCACATGATCTAGAACACAAAGACTAATGTATAGGTACCAGGATTCATGTGTAAAGGGCAGGCAGCTTAGTTCAGATGTGGACCCTGGGTGATGCCTGAACAAAGATGGTGCTGGTCTTCTGGAAAATGAAGGCATTGTCAGGGGATAGCATTGTCATCTTTCTGAAGAAATAAACACCTGCCATCTGCATGCATGTAACCAGGGGCGGACTGACAACTCATTGGGCCCCCCGGGCAATAGGGGATCAAGGGGCCCCTGGGCAATAGGGGATCATGGGGCCCCTGTGTCCTTGCCCAAACTCAAAAAAGCCTATGAAAAAGGTACCAGGGGCATCTCATGGGGCCCCCTACTGACGCCAGGCCCTCGGGCAGCGCCTGAGTTTCCAAATGGTCAGTCCGCCCCTGCATGTAACAGGCGTGAGGCTCATGTACTCCACTCCCGTGTTGCCCATCACAGTTGCATTGTACAGCCAAGGCAAAAAGCCCCGCACTGGACAAGGCCTGGAAATGCTGAAAGGCTTTAGAGTGAGAAAGGATTAGAATCTCTGTCGGGTTTTTACAGCTAGCCAGGCTCTGTAGGACTCATTCACATGGGCGGCAGTAAAAGCAGGTGGTTGAGCCATGGTTTTACCACCCATCTAAAGACGGAAATGCATCTGCTCAGGGCTGCGATGTTGCAGCAGCAATTATATGTCGCGTTGGGCGGGTGGTACTGCCGCAGAATGTGACCCCTTTCAGCTTTTGGGGTGCTGCTGAAACCACTGTACAACCATCTGCAATGCACACAGTCGTGGGGCGGTAGTGCGCTAGGTCATGCCGTCTCTGGGAGTTCTCCAGCCAGGCTTCAGGAGGTAAGTCAATGGCCTACCTATAGCAAGGGCTTCCTTCAGCTTTGGTCAAACACCCCTTACCTGCAGCGGCAGTTCTCTGGTCAAGGTGGGCGAACCCTTTGCAGCACATGGAAGCAGTAGGTGCACCAGAGCTTGTGTTGTCACGTGACTGGTAGGTCATGTGACTCTCTGCCAGAACACGGATGTCACGTGACATCCCCCCCCGATCGCCATGCCAGGAGGATGTGGATGGGGCACGGATGGGGGATGTGTGGGTGGGCACATTCCAGCCCTCAGGGGCGTCTGGGATGTTTATATAAAGAACAATGACCCTGTAAATCTTAGTGTGAACCAACCACACAGCTATGCAAGAGAGGCGGCTGCCAACATTCACTGCATGCCAGGCTGATGGGACCACACAGCCGCCTGGGGGGATGGCAGGTACTGTGCGGCCCTTCCTTAGAGGGGCCATACATGGCAGGCCTTGTGAGTGGGAGGAAGGTGTAGGCCGAGAGCTGCTGCCACTGGAGCGGTACTTACCGGTACTTACCTTTACAGCAGTCTGTGCTCAGGGGTGAATGTTTGAAATGCAGACTGACTGTGTTCTGGGCATTCACCCCTGACCGCATTCTGCCCTAAACATGAGTACCGCTCAGTGCACCGTCCAGCCGCAGCAGCTGCCGGCCTCCCCGTACCATCTCTGTTTAGTTCCAGGCTTGTTATTCCCCATTATAAACACAAACGGTTCTGACTATCTTCATTTGAAGGGACTGTCTCTCTTTTGGGACCAAACCCCCTTGTCCCTACTTCCTCCTCAGGCATCCCTCTTTTGGGACCAAGCCTTTCTGTCCATCCTTCCTCCTCAGGAGTCCCTCTTTTGGGACCAAACCCCACTGTCCCTCTTTACTCTTCTGGTATTCCTCTTTTGGGCCCAAATCCTTCTGTCCCTTCTACTTCCTCAGGTGTCTCTCTTTTGGGACCAAACATCTCTGTTCCTCTTTCCTCCTCAGGTGCCCCTCTTTTGGGACCAAACCCCTCTGTCCCTTCTTCTTCCTCAGGTGTCCCTCTTCTGGGAACAAGCCCCTTCTTCCCTTCCTTCTTCCTCAGGTGTCCTTCTTTTGGTACCAAACCTCACTGTCACTCTTTCCTCCTCAGGTGTCCCTCTTTTGGGCCAAAGCCCCTCTGTCCATCCTTCCTCCTCAGGTGTCCCTCTTCGGGGTCTAGATCCCTCTGTCCCTCCTTCCTCCTCAGATGTTTCTCTTTTGGGACCAAGTCCCTCTGTCCCTCCTTCCTCCTCATGTGTCCCTCTTTTGGGACCAAACCCCACTGTCCCTCTTTCCTTCTCAGGTGTCCCTTTTTTGGGACCAAGCTCCACTGTCCCTGCTTCCTTCTCAGGTGTCCCTCTTTTGGGACCAAGCCTTTCTGTCCATCCTTCCTCCTCAGGGGTCCCTCTTTTGGGACCAAACCCCACTGTCCCTCTTTCCTCCTCAGGTATCCCTCTTTTGGGCCCAAATCCTTCTGTCCCTCCTTCCTCCTCAGGTGTCTCCCTTTTGGGACCAAACATCTCTGTTCCTCTTTCCTCCTCAGGTGTCCCTCTTTTGGGACCAAGCTCCTCTGTTCCCCCTTCTTCCTCAAGTGTCCCTCCTTTGGGACCAAGCTCCTCTGTCTCCCCTTCTTCCTCAAGTGTCCCTCTTTTTGGCCTAAACCCCTCTGTCCTTACTTCTTCCTCGGGTGTCCCTCTTTTTTGGACCAAACTCTTCTGTCCCTCCTTCCTTTGCAGGTGTCCCTCTTTTGGGCCCAAAACCCTCAATCCCTTCTTCCTCCTCAGGTGTCTCTCCTTTGGGACCAAAACCCTCAGTCCCTCCTTCCTCCTCAGGTGTCCCTCCTTTGGGACCAAACCCTTCTGTCCCTCCATGCAGGCACAACAGAGCGGGCATTTCTGCACATGCTGTGTAGGACAGGCCATGCCGCACCGGACTGGACTGCATGGAATGAATGACACCACCGCGGGTCTACTAAAGGTCAGCACACTTCTGTGCGTGTTGGGAAAACATGCGATTTTGCAGGCGGTGCCTAGATGTACAGTGTGTGAACGTAGCATAAAGAAATAATAGTGCTGATAAAAACGACTTTCAAACGAATGTCTTAGGCTACATTCACACTTTGTTGACTTTGAATTCACCCAAAATTGCGCTCTTTCCACAATGCACGGTGCCAAAGTATGCAAAGGGTCGGGACATCTTTTGTGCGTTTCTCACTCATAGGGCAGACTATTGAAATGAATAGACTGCGCTGCACATGACGCACCAAAATGAGCATGCTCTTTGTCACACCTGCTTAGTGTGAACAGAGCCTGAGGTCCCAATTACATTTGTATGGCATGTTATTGTACGTGCGTCACCATGCATCATGTCATGCGGTAGTAAGTGTCGCATTAGGCAGCCCGTTGAAATCAATGGGCTTCTGATGTACAAAATCGCTTCAATTACGATTGCACAGGATTTATATGGCGCCAACAATTTGATCACTAAATCTTTGTTGCATCTCTATGGTGCCTTGCCACCAGGGGTGGACTGACCATTTGAAAACTCAGACACTGCCTGAGGGCCCGGGGTCAGTAGGGGGCCCCATGAGATGCTCCTGGTACCTTTTTCATAGGCTTTTTTGAGTTTGGGCAAGGACACAGGGGGCCCATGATCCCCTATTGCCTGGGGGCCCCATGAAATGTCAGTCCACCCCTGATTGCCACGCATCTGTGTTGCCTTGGGGTGCTATTCAAACTGAATGGCAACAAAATGCGTCAACACATGGAATGTGTGTTTCTGCAGCGCATGGATGAAGATCTTCCCTTAGTGTTTCACTTCTCACTTCTTGTGTATTCATTCTTTCTAGTCCTTGTATCTGGTGGTGCGGCACAGTGCGCCATTTAGGGGGGCCACCTCATCCCTTTAAACCCGAACACATATTAATGACACAAGTTCTGGGGCTGATTTAATGCAGATCAGGCGCAGAGTGAGTTTAATTACCACCAGGGGCAGACTGACAATTCATAGGGCCCCTGGGCAATAGGGGATCATGGGGCCCCTGTGTCCTTGCCCAAACTCAAAAAAGCCTATGAAAAAGGTACCAGGGGCATCTCATGGGGTCCCCTACTGACCCCTGGCCCTTGGGCAGTGCCCAAGTTTCCAAATGGTCAGTCCGCCCCTGATTACCACATTAACCCCTTTGCGTAAGAGGTTTCAGAATGTTGGGAGGCGGGGTTTTAGGGTCATATGACCGCCGTGATTCACTGTTACGGCGGTCACATGATCGGAAAAGGTCCCGATCGCAAGAGGAGATCAGGACCTTTCCGTGAGTCACGGACATATGTGCTGGGAGCATGCAGGACACGTGCTCTCAGCACATATGTACTTTCAAATGGCACACAAATATGCGGCCGCTCGGCGTCAAGACCCAGACGCCGAAAGGCCGCATATTTGTGTGCGCTCGGCGTCTAGGGGTTAATCAGCTACAGGAAATGTGTAACTAATATGTGTTCAGTTTTAAAAAAAAAACCGCTTCCCTTCCGCTTTATAGCAGAAATACTGCTACAGGGCGGCACAGGTGCGCAAAATACACAGGAGCGAACTGACCATTTGGAAACTTGGGCACTGCCCGAGGGCCCGGGATCAGTAGGGGGCCCCATGAGATGCCCCTGGTACTTTTTTCATAGGCTTTTTTGAGTTTGGGCAAGGACACAGGGGCCCCGTGATCCCCTATTGCCCGGGGGCCCCATGAGTTGTCAGTCCGCCCCTGCGTATAAATACGTGATTTTGCATTTCCGGGTAGGGGGCGCGTGTGAGCCCTACCTGTGCTGCCTTTCGTGGCCGCAGCTGTCAATCACCAGGTCCCAGCCGGTAATCACTTGCTGGCACCCAGTGATTGCCGAACATCTCCGATGGGGAGGAGGACTGTTTGTAAACAATACAGATCTCTCCCCTGTCAGCTCCTGCACACTGCTATGCATGGCTTTGCATAGTAGAGCCATACAAAGCTGTGTGATTACAGTGAAACACACAGACACAGCCCATAGTAAAATGGGCACAGTTAACCCTTTGATCTCCCCAGATGTTAACCCCTTCCTGCCCAGTACCATTAGTACAGTGTCAATGCTTTTTATTAGCACTGATCGCTGTATTGGTGTCACTGGGGATGCCAGTGTCAGAATATAAGTCAAATAAAAAAAAATAATAGAAACAAAAATAGTAAAAAGAATTTAAAAATCCCAGTATCTATACCGCCATTGGAAAATGCTATAACTTTCACGTAAACCTATTAATTTACACGTATTGGGATTTTTTTTTTTTTTTAGCAAAGACATGGAGCAGAATACATTTTGGCCTAATTTTATGATGAAATTTGATTTTTTACTGGACTGGAGCAAAAAGTCAAAAATCGCGTGGTAAAAGGCCGCTGTGATTGGCCTTTTACCACATCATGTGATCACCTGTGTCCGTAGGATGCATTCTGGGAGGATGTCATATGACCCCTTCCCAGGACTGGACAACCGCGCTGTAGCCGTCATTCTGCGGTTGCCAAGTGGTTAATAGCAAAAAGTCAAAAATATTTTTTTTTTCCTCAAAATTGTCGGTCTTTTTTTTTTTTCTGAGCACAAATAATAAAAACCGCACAGGCGATCAAATGCAACCGAAAGAAAACTCAATTCGTGGGAAAAAAAGGATGTAAGTTAGGTGAAAGTAACGCAGCGCCGTAACGCAAAAAATGTCCTGGTCGGGAACGGGGGGTAAATCCTCAGGAGGGCAAGTGGATGAGGTGGCCATCCTAGCACCATTGCCTACCTATTTGGAGCTCAGAGGTGTCACTCTTTCTTGGTAGGTATGGAGGTAGGAGACATAGAGTGGGAAGACTTAGAAAAGTTTACAAAATGGAAGAAGAGAGCGTGGGGAACACAAGAAGAGGCGAGCGCGGTGTATATCTATAAGGAGATGCAGTAGCATTTTATACAGTAAGAATTGAGAGACCCAACAGAACAGACATGCTGCAGGAGAAGCTCAGGAATAGCCGGGAATGGATGACCACGCAGTGACACCAGACACACTCCCCTCTCCTCTGCCAACCCAAACACTGACAGATCTGGAATTGACCAAACTAGGACGAGAAAAGGGACAAGTGGTCACGCCGATCCAAAACCAACACACCGCCCCCTCCCCCCACACTCCGACCGTTGAGGATCATTATGATATGATGACAACAGGTGTCTGTCATTGTCACAGGGATCAACAGACTGCCAAAGACTTTAAAAGATACAACAGTGCAGTTCCCAAACTGCTGGCGTACGCTCCCATCCTGGGGAAGCAAATGTCACATTGTGCCAAACGTTCTACTTAAAGAGACACCACCATTTCCACGTTCATAGCGTTCATTCACAAAGTTAAAGCGCAGTTCCACCTGAAAAAAAAAATGTCAGCAGCTACAAAAACTGTAGCTGCTGACTTAAAATACAAACACTTACCTGTCCCACGGTCCAGCAGTGTCCTCACCACAGCTGGTTTCACCGGCCATCTTCCCTCCCCGGCGCCGGCATCTTCAGTGTGGGCACCCAGCTGTGACAACTTACCTGTCCCACGGTCCAGCAGTGTCCTCACCACGGCTGGTTTCACCGGCCATCTTCTCTCCCCGGCGCCAGCATCTTCAGTGTGGGCACCCAGCTGTGACAACTTACCTGTCCCTCGGTCCAGCAGTGTCCTTACCACCGCTGGTTTCACTGGCCGTCTTCTCTCCCTGGCGCCGGCATCTTCAGTGTGGGCACCCGGCTGTGACAACTTACTTGTCCCTCAGTCCAGCGGTGTCCTCACCACCGCTGGTTTTACCCGCCGTCTTCTCTCCCCGGTGCCGGCATCTTCAGTGTGGGCTCCCGTCTGTGACAGCTTGGTGCCCTCTGCGCATGCGTGAAAAGCTCTGCGCTTTGTGAATGGCCCCGTAGTCTTCTGGAACCTGTCATGTGTCCGACAAGACTTCGGGGAGGGAGGGTAGGAGGACAACTTCCGCTTCCGATCGCCTAGGTACAAGTCAAATTTAGGTACCCGCTCCCAAAGGTGCCAATCCTTAACAGGGGGCGGGGGACAAAGGCTTAAAGCGGAACTTCCCCTGTTGAGTGAAGCTCCGCTTTAATATAGAGACAATGGCAGGACAAGGGTCTTTAACATCCAAGGATAGAAGGCTGAAATGCGACCCATGAGCTGTGATGTATCTTGTAGATGCTGCCCACTTTGCTCTTCCCTCTGTCTCATGCACCCAAAACAGCCGCCTTTTCTGCCTGCCGCTTGACCCAGCTCACCTGATAGCCCACCGACCCACCAAGGTATTCTCACACATATTCACTCCTTCATCTCCAATCTGATCCTTCAGGTTTCTCTTGTTGAGTAGAGGTTCCGAGTACACAGAAGCATTGACCACCCCATGTGGCACTGTTTGCTAGTAAGGATAAATATGGGTTTGGTCAAAGTTGGAAGCTGTAAGTGCTGACCCAATCATCAGGGAATGTCGTGGTTGGGCCAGCACTGACAATTCCTTCGTGTTTTGGACCAAACCCAAGCTCACCCCTGGTTGCTAGGCCCTAAAAGTGTCTTAGGGGCAGGGGAGGAGGGCAGTGATGTCATCTACCTGTGTAAGCTCCAACACCATGGAAGCCTACCCAAGGTTGCTCAGTAAGTATACCTTTTCGATCTGCTGTTAGTAGGCAGGGGACAGGGTCTCTCAATTACTTATAGTCATCTTCCCTTCGCTCCCCTACAGCTCCATACACCTGCTGGTACTTCCAGGTATTATTTCTGTACTGAGGGTGAATATTGCAGCAAATGCTGGTTTCGTTTTTTATCTTGATATCTTTATCCTATTTTGGCTTCATGTCACATTTTAATGTGTGATGCGCTTAGACCAGGAGTCTCCAAACTGCGGCCTGAGGGCAGGATGTGGCCCTTTGCTACCCTTTATCTGGCCCCCTGGGGTACTATTCCTCCAACTGAGACCTGCAGTATTTCTTCCCATGAAACCAATGATGGTGTATTATTCTTCCCACTAATACCAATGATGGGGCGCTACTCCTCCTACTGACCAACAATCCTGAGGCCGTGTTTACTCTCACTGATGCTGGGGCCAAGACATTTTCTGTCCTCGCTGACCCTAATCTGGCCCTCCTAAAGTCTGAAGGACAGTATACTGGCCCTTTGTTTGTAAAGTTTGGAGACCCCTGGCTTAGACTGTCCATTGAAATGAATGTCCCAAAAATTGGACATGCCACACATTTTGCAACATGGCCAGTATGGGTCAATGCCCTGCTTTCGGCACACTGCAAAGCGCCTGTGTTGCTTTGATTTACACAGAATTAGCTGCTGCCGAAAGGATTCTGTGTAAAATAACACTTGCAGAGAGTCTACAAGTGTCATTGAGTAAATACAATCTATGACATCAGTTAAACAAAATAAAAACAAAACATATTTTTTTTATTAACCCCTTTACTACCTCTTAGGTAACCATAATCAGAGCTATTTTTTCCCTTTCTCCCCCTATCTATATTTTTTTTTTAACAATAATATTTAGATTAATTTTCTGTCATTTTGTTGTTTTTCTGTCGCATAAAAAAATAAAATGCACAAAATTGAAAAAAAAAATAGCCTTTTTCATTTACAAATAAGTTTGCCATGTTTGTACAGGACGCATT